CTACTCCCGTAAGGATTTACACCCTCGGAAACCCTGTACAGGGTCGCTATGGGTCGGAACCGACTCGACGGCACTTAACAACAACAACAACAACAAGTCTATATCTATATGCCAAAATAGAACACTATGTGAGTGTATCAAAATGTAAATAATTATCTTAGCATTAAAAAAATCATCAGTATCCAGACCTAGTTCCTGGCATACTACTCTTCTAAGTATCAAAACTCATCAAGTGACTGAGATCCGTGAAAATACTGTGAGTAAACAACCTGTGCAAAGTTCTAACAAATGAAATTCAGAAGGAAAAACTCAAGATCTCAAAATACAGAGGTTAGAACCCAAATTGAAATCAAACAGAACAAACTTTCACATACATCTTCTCCATATTCTTTATTTTCAAACATATGTATGCAATCATTCACAATGGTCAGTAGTATTTCTTGATTATGATCAATGCAGTTCCGGATCTTGTCCAAGTGAAGAAGAAACTGAGGAAGTAGTTTCTGTTGATTAGCTGGAAGTGATCGAAACTGTCTTTCTGTTCGGTGCACTCGCTCATGCATACTGGTGCTAGAACATAAAAGGTGTTTTTTAAATTGGCAAAAAAATTCTCAGCAGACGCCAATCTTATTTCAAAGTTGTCTTAAAAAAAAAAAAAAGATAATTATTTTCTTATAATGCTAGAAACTGTCATGCCATTAACAACCATCTACCTAAATAGATTTAGACTTAGAAAGTTTTTTGTTTTCACTTTACTGAATTTTTCTGTAAACAACCAAACAAGTGACAAATGGTTTATAACTAGTAAAAGTGAACTTCGGTACCAATTAAGAGGGGGTAGACGCACAAAGAGGATTAATATACAATTAGTTTATCTCTATGATTTCAATTTTCAGCAAAACTATTTAAATAGTTTAGATTTCTCCACCATAAGTAGCAGAATGTTGCTTTGAAACTACTTAAGAATACAGAAAATGTATTTTTAGTTAACTACTAAAAGTCGTTCTGCTGTGCACGAGGTCGCTATGAGTCGGTATCGACTCGATAGCACTTAACAAGAAAAACTACAAGTCAAGGAATGTGAATTTTTTTTATATTATAAAAGATCTTTTGCACTGCAGGAGTAAATGTTTGAAGAATTAAACTTCTATATAGTTTTACATGATAACATTCATAATTAACATTCTCAACATTTCAGGTAGTTTTAAAGGTCACTTTGGGAAATACTTATGCATAAGACCAGAATGTTGTTATTTTTAGGTGCTATTGAGTCATTTCTGTGCTCTGGCAGTGTAGTGGTTATGAATCGGGCTGCTAACCTCAAGGTCGGAAGTTCGAAACTACCAGATGTTCCACGGGAAAAAGATGAGGCTTTCTGCTATCCTAAGAATTTGCAGCCTCGGAAACCTTGTGCAGGGTCACTATGAGTCGGAACCGACTCCACCGTACTTAACAGCAACAACAGTAACCTTATGCACAACAGAATGAAACACTGCCCATCCTCACAATTGCTATATTTGAGCACACTGCTGCTGCCACGATGTCAATTCATCTCAGTGAGGGGTGGGGAGGTATCTTCTTTTAAGGTACAATTTTTAAAAGTTAAATACACACAATGAAATACAATTTTACGTAAATCACATGGGTGAAACTTTACAGCCTAACAATATAAAAAGTCAGCAAAAATGTGGAGTACTTAGAACATTTATACACACTGGTGATGGGTGCATAAATTAGTACATCACTTTAGAAAACAACTTAGTATTATCCATGCCCTATGACCTAGCAATTATACTTCCAGGCAGGTACATATATACTCAAGAAACACTTACAAATTGGCACCAAGAAACAGAGACAATATTCATTACAACAATGAAATAAGAAACAAAACCCCAGAAGTTAACCACAAGTAAACTGAAGGAAGACATTGTACAGTTATACAACACAACACAGTGAAATGAATACCTTACAGTTAACTCAGGAATATATTTTTTGAAAAAAGAAAGTAGCATAAAAATACATAACGAACAATTCCAGTTTATATAAAATTAAACAACATATTGTTTTAGGAATTGAATATATATGGAAAAACCAAAAAGAAAGTAAGTTCAAGATTTTCTGGAGTTAAAGACAGGATAATGCTCTTTTTTAAAGTAGAGAGATAATTCCATGGGTGTACACTACCACTTTATTATTGCACACAACACATCTGTAAACGTTTATGTATGAGTAGTTCTTTTAAGTATTCTTCTTCATTCATTGAATGCTTAACAAAAATACAAAGTATTATTTTCATTTAGTTGCCTGAGTATATTTATGCAAACAATTCTTTCATCTTTACATTTTTGTGACAAATTGACCTCTAATTTTTAAACAGTGATAAATAAGTACAGAAGTGCAAAAGAAGCTCTAAGCAAAACTAAAGCAAAAATCTGGTAATGTTTTTACAGGTTGTTTAGCTTTTAAAGACAGGAGGAACTGACTGAGTGAATAATGTGAGGGATCACACAGGCAGTGGCTACATTGATTTTTGCTCTTTTCCCCTGGAGACAATATAAAAGTGAACTTTGAAGTCAGCTGGATGTGGGCTAAAATCCAGGTTCCACCAGCTATCTGCTATGTGATCCTGGGCAAATCACTTCCTTTCTCTAGGCCCCAACTGTCTCATCTACAAAAATAAGAAAATACATATTAACAAAAATAATGATGAGGAATACAGCGTTTATCATTGATTAATGTTTAATAAATGCTAGACACTAAACCAAATCACATAATATGGAAAAATCTCCATAAAACCCTATGAAGTAGGTAACAATTGATCCTCTGCCTATCTGATAGGGTTTCTTTTAAAATTGAACAAAATAATGCAAGTATATCATTTAGACCAATGTCTGAAAATATGGGATGTGCTTAAGAATTCACAGGTGTATCTAATTTCTATAACTACTGTTGCTAAGTGCCATCAAGTCGATTGTGACCCATAGCGACCCTGTATAGGGTTTCCGAGGAACCGCTGGTGAGCTTGAACTGCCAACCCTGCAGTTCAAACGGATTTGCAGTCTGGCGCAGTAACCCACAGCACCACACCAGGACTCCATTTCTATAAGTAGTACGTTCAAAATAAAAACACGAAATTTAGAGCAAAGTAAAAGAACTTAAGGGGAAAAGGCTACTAAGAGTACTCCTTATAGAAGTAGCCACTTCTAACCTCTTTGGCATATTTATCTCCATTTTACTTGTAGACGATAAAGGCATCTAGGACCCTATTCATAATGTGGTGCACAGAAAAGCACATGGAAGTGGTTAGAAATGCAGAATCTCAGGTCCTACCCAAGGACCCACTGAATTAGAACCTGTTTTTTAATCCTCAGGTGATTCATAAACATATTAAAGTTGGAAAAGCACTTGTAGTTCTTCCCCCTATCACAAGAAAAAAGGGCTCAAACACAATGTAGTGACTATAATGGCTGTTCATCATTCATTCCATTTTATGCAACCAATATTTACTTGGTTATTTCCCAACCATTGGACATTTAGAGACATTTTGTGTTCAAACTCTTAGGGGGAAAATATGAGAAATCCACAGAAATAGATTATCAATTCAGAAACGAAAAGCATTTTTAAGATTCTTATACTTGTAGCCTGGAGTCCTGGTGTGGCACTGTGGGTTAATGCGCCAGACTGCAATGCCGTTTGAACTGCAAGGTCGGCAGTTCAAGTTTACCAGCTGCTCCACGGAAACCCTATACAGGGTCGCTATGGGTTGGAACCAACTCGACGGCACTTCACAACAACACAACAATAATACTGGTAGCATATGAAGCTCTGGTAGCATAGTGGTTACGAATCGGGCTGCAAACCTCAGGGACAGCAGTTCAAAACTACTAGCTGTTCCGTGGGAGAAAGATGAGGCTTTCTGCTCCCATAAAGATTTACAGCCTCGGAAACCCTGTGCAGGGTTCACTATGAATTGGAATCAACTCGATCATACTTAACAACAACAACAATACAAATTGAGTACTTCTAGTGTGGCACTGTAAGACAAGCTGTGAACCAAAAGGTTGGTGGTTCAAACCCACCAGCTGCTTCTCAGAAACCCTATACAGGGTGTGGCACTGCAGGATAACATGCTGGACTGCAATGTCAGCTTGAACCACAGGTCTGCAGTTCAAATTTACCAGCTGCTCCTTGGAAACCCTATACAGGGTTGCTATGGATCAGAATTGACTTCACAGCACTTAACGGAGTCAGAATCAACTCAAGGGCACTTAACAACAATATACCAATTGAAGGAACCCTGGTGGTGTTGTAAGATAAGCACTGAACTGCTAACCACAGGGTCAACAGTTTAAAACCAATAGACACTCCTTAAAAGATGAGACATTCTGCTCCTGTAAAGATTTATACCCTTAGAAACCCTATACAGGGTTGCTATAAGTCAAAATGGACTTGACTGCAGTGGGTTTCTATAAAGTGATTTTCAGAAAGATTGTATCAGTTTACATTTTTATCACGAGAGTATGATACTAAAGGGAACTATTTAAAGTGGTCAAACTCTTCCAAATGGGGACAATGCTAAATTTGGTTTGTTGCTGTTGTTAAGTGTTGTGGAGTCTGTTCCGACTCATAAGCTACGCGGTACAGGATTTCTGAGAAGCAGCTGGTAAATTTGAACTGCCAGCCTTGTGGTTCGAACAGGCCTTGTGGTCAAGTACAATAACCCACAGGTAGGTAGAATTCTCCAGCCTTCAGGTGGGAGATGATCAAGGCTTAACCACCTCATGCGCGACCACCATCCATCAGTGGAGGCTTGCATGGTACTAAACAAGTATCTGTGGAGGTTCTAGACTAATACAGACTAGGAAGGAAGGCTCGGCAATCTACTTCTGAAAAATCAGTGAAAATTCTGTGGACCACAAAGGTCTGCTATGCAGAGAATCCTGGGTATAGAACAAGACTAGGTGACATTTCGGTTCATTGTGCACAGGGTCACCATGAGTTAGGAGCTGCTTCTATGGCTGCCAATAACAAGACAGACAAATAACAGAGCTGCGGCAGTTTACAATTCATTGTCAGCAAGTTAAGGAGCCCTGGTGGCACACCAATTAAGCACTCAGTTAAGAACTGAAAGGTCGTGGTTTGACCCCACCAGCTGCTTCCATGGTAGAAAATGTAACAATCTACTTCAGTAAAGATTACAGCTTTGGAAACCCTATGGGCCAGCACCACTCTGTACTACGAGGGTCACTATGAGTCAAAGTCAACTTGATGGCGATGGATTTTTTATTTTGGAGGTGAACAGTACACTGAAATCCTGGAGTTCTGCTGTGGCACTATGAAATAAAGCACTGGACCACAAGGTTAATTTGAACCACAAGATCAGTGGTTCAAATTCACCAGCTGCTCCTTGGAAATCCTGTAGATCAGAACCAACTTGATGGCACTTAACAACAACTTCATTCTTAAGATTCCTGGATACTAAATGTCCAGTTGTCCCCTACACACACTCAAAACTCAACATCTAAACTAAATAAATGTTTCACTAAAAAATTTGCCTTGTGTATCACCGATATAGATGAATGAAGCACCATACGCCTAACAGTTAGAAACCAGGGAGTCATCCAAAAATGCCTCTTCTATCTGTGCCTGCAATAAGTGCACAAGTTCTTTGATTCTACTTCATAAAACTATCTGCAAATTACCTCATCCCCACTGCTTTACCTCACACCCTCATTGTGTCTCTCTCCCAAAGACTAACGAGAAATGTATCCACAGCCTAGAAATAAGGGTTATGTGCGATTTTAAAAACTGAAACTTAGAACTGATTTTCACAGGTGAGGGAGGGTACAGGCCTCTAATGAGGTGAGCAGCTTGCCTAGGGTTACACAACCAGACTGGTGAAAACTGGGCCTGAAATCCAAAGTCGTACACACGATTTTACACTGCATTAATACAAGCCCACCACCACTGCTGTTATATGAAATCTTCTAAAATACAAAGCACATGTCTGTCACTGTTCAATCTTCATACTTCAGTAGATATAAAAAACAGTCGATCAATTTATAGTTTTGCTTCCAAGGTGCCACTATTTATTTTGGTAATTGTAGTGTTGTTAAGGAAATGTGAACTAGTTGGAGGAGCATACACAAGCTTACTATCAATTCCTAGTGTAGAAGTAAAGAAACTAAACAGAGCAGACCCTACCCCTTGGTTACCTAAAGCACACAGCTGCCCTACACCTATCCACAGTGACATTCTTAAGTGGGTTGTATCAAAGTCGAAAAAAGAGTACAATCCTTATGATATCTTTATAATTGGGACTAACTTCACACGGTCAATGTGCTTTAAGGCCGAGGTCTGCATACAAACTATGGTTCAATGCAACTTGGACTGCGGCTGTAAACGTTTTTCTAGAACACAGCCACATGCTCTTGTTTACACACTGTCTGTGTTTGCTGTCTTACTATAATGGCAGAGTTCAACAGTTGTAACAGAAACCATCAGACACTCAGAGCCATGAGTATTTATTATTGGGCCATTTTAAGTAAAAACCTTGCTGAATGCTGCTTTAAAACAATGTTTAGCAAATATTCTGGTTCTGAACTAACTCAGCATCAGGTACTGACATCCTCAAGGAGAAGCTGCAGGGAGAAAGCAGAATCAGTAGCTGTATTTTCCACATGGGTAGCTCTATCTCTGCTAACCTCAAGATCAGCAGTTCGAAACTAGCAGCTGCTTCATGTGAGAAAGAAGAGCTTTTCTGTTCCCGTAAAGATTTACAGCCATGGAAACCCTATGCAAAGTCACTATGAGTCGGGAACCGGCTCCTTGGCACACCCCACCGCTACCATCTCTACCTCCAGCTCACCAGTATCCTAGAAAGTTAATCTTGGCCCCAATTCTGACTTAGTCATCTTTCATCAGTATGAGTCTGACACTGTGTGTGCGTCAATGGCCATGGTTATATGCCTATTCCTCTTTACTAGTTAAACTAAAGTAGGTGTTCCAAATCGGAAAGCATATCAACACAATTTAAGTACTGATTAAATATATCCATACCAGCTGTTTATACTGAGTTTATTTTGACTCAGCAACCCCATGTGTGTATAAACTGTACTGTATCAGATTACCAGACCTTTCTTTCAAGGTGCCTCTGGGTGGACTCAACCCTTTCAGTTAGAAGCCAAGCCAAGTTAACTGTATGTAGTACGAAGGGACTCCTATTTATTAAACATCCAATGTTCAATTTGTCTTATTAGTATCACTGCTTTATTAATGTAGGGTAAAATTATATGTATGATTTTGGATTTCAGGTCAAACTCTCACCATAATTTGGTTGTGCAACATTAGGCAGATTACTGACCAATCTGCTCATCTGTGAAAATGGTTATATTTCACTTAACCATTATTTCTGAGTGGGATGTTTCTGGAAAGAAGCTTAACTCAACTGTAGTATTTTGTGCATATGTAGGTAATTTTTCATTCAAAACAAGGGTAATGTGGCTAACAATATTTTTACTATTCAGCACAATGCTACAACCATTTTTTGCCCTCATTAAAATATGTCATCTAAGCAAACTCTGTAAGAAGCAAAATTAAGCTACTGAAAAAAGAAATTATTAGTCAGAGACATTTTTTTTCCTTTACTTTTTTAATCTAAGATTTCCTACATAATGACACTTTGCAGTAAATCCAATCCCTCCAAAATATGAAAATTGTTGGTAAGGGCCAAGAACAGGTCAATCCACCAGATAACAAGGCTCACTCTCTAGCTCTACTGTCCTATGCTGCAGACTCTAGCCACATGTGGCTACTGAGTACCTGAACTGCAGCTGTGAGACTGAGGAAGTGAATTTCACATTGTATTTCATTTTCATTAATTTAAACTTATATTGAGCCAGATGTGCCTAACAGCTATAGAACTGGACAGTACAGGTCTAGACTACTTTCACCTAGTCCTTTAAGTGTGTAGGATCAGCACTGGACTGTGAACCACAAGGTTAGCATTTCAACCCCACCAGCAGCTCCTTGGAAACCCTATACAGGATTGCTGAGTCAGAACTGACATGACAGCACTTAACAACAGTCCTTTAAAAGTGACGTTTGAAAGGCACATTTTTAATCATACTCTACTTTTAGCCCAAAGGAGCCCTGGTGGTATAGTAATGTGCTCAGCTGAAAACTGAAAGGTTGGCAGTTTGAACCCACCCATTCACTCCATGGGAGAAAGATGTGACAGTCTGCTCCTACATATTGGTTGTTCTGTGCTATGGAGTCACTTCTGACTTATAATGACCCTGTATAGGGTTTCCAAGGCTATAAATCTTTACCAGAGCAGAAAGCCTCATCTTTCTCCCAAGGAATTGCTAGTAGTTTAGAACTGCTGACTATGAGATTAGTAGCCCGACTCAAAACCACTTTGTTACCAGAGCCGAGGAACTCCTATGAGCCAGTTCTGCTATGTCTTAAAGCACCTCTATGAGTCAAAATCGACTTGATGGTAATGGGCTTATTTTCACTTCATGGATTTGAAAGAAGTGTTTCATTTACAATGCATATGCAAATAAAAAGGTTGTTTTTTGTTTTGTTTTTAATGAAATTTTCTTTGATGCCACATTATTCCTGGAAGGGAGAGGGATGAGGGTTAAATATAGCAAACAGTTTCACAACCATGACCTAGAACATACACAAAGATGCCTTTTTCTAAAGAGCAAGTCAATGGCCTGAGAACAGTTCATCTGATAATACAGACTAAATCTACATTGGTCCTAATATATGAAAACCAGGTACAATTACTATCTACATTTAACTAAACAAGTCTACTACATTTCTAATGCACTGCCCAATTATTTCAAACATTTCCAATAGTAAATTACACCAATTTATTCTGTACCTACTGCTATCTGATGTCCAGCCACTTCCCCTCATTGTATAATTCTTCCAGGCCCAATTTTTTTAAACAAATTCACTTTTTGGATGTCTGTCTTTCTCCCTCTGTTGCTACTAACTATGGAGAAACGAAATCCCAAATATCTACCTTTTGGTCTTAAGTAATGGGCCCTCTGCCTGAGCTAAAGTTATAGTGTAACGATCTATGAATCTCAAAAATTTATGTCACAAATGTGTTAGAGTAGAATTGCTCCATAGGGTTTTCTTGACACATGCCAATGGCCAGGACTTTCTTTCACAGTGTTGCTGGGTGGGCTCAAGCTACCAACCTTTAGGCTATTAGTGCAAGTTGTTTGTGCCACCCCAGAGACCTTTACTAAGATTCTAACTAAACTTTAAGCTTATATGAAATACTTTCCTAATTCAGAAAAATAGCACACTAGTTGACCCAACAGTCAAAAACTGGTAGACTATTTAAGGATGAGAGATGCATTTGCTACTTAAAAAAAAAAAGTTAAAATAGAACATCAACGACTATGCCAGGCCCTGCTGCCATCAAATAAGGCTCAGGCTTTGCCTTGAGGAGGTCATAGACAAGAGATTCAAACTCATAAACAGCTACATTATAAAGATAAACAACCAGTTTATGTGAAATTGAGCAGGGACCCATCTAAGGCAATAGTTTGGCCTGCTAAGGTCTGATTCCAATTGTAGATTCAGATCATTTATTTGTCTGTGTACTCACATACGTCTTACATGAGTAAGTGTGCAATATTTATGTGAACACCCATTTGATTTAAGGCCCTTTCACATCTTGTAACTATAAATTTGTAATTAAGCTACTTTAACAGTTAAACGAAATGCACTATTCACTATGTCCAAGTGTTAGTAAGTTGAAATAACAATGAGAAACAAGCAAGCATACATATAGATCATACCATCCTGCGCAGCCATAGCTTCAATACGTATTTGCAGAATAAAAGGTCATAAAGGCGCCTCAGATGTGCCTTCTCTCCAACACTTCCCTCTTTAAAAACAACCAAACTTTAATTCCACCTACATTTAATTTCACATTGAGCATAAACATTCAATCGCTCACCACACACGTACATGTACGTGCACAGCGCCAAGGTGGGTAGCGTGGCAATCTTAGGCTGCTCTCACAAGAATGGTTAACAGTTCAGAGAAATGTGTCTACGGCATCCCACGTGTAGGTGAACTTGGGCTCTCCGTACGTTCAGTTTAGAAGGCATCGACAACACAAACACATCACGCCCAAACTGGACGGCTTCACCACCATCATCTTCTATCTGAAATGGTTACAGCACTGTATTTTCCGGTCACCCCCACCGGCCTCAAAGCCAAACCTTTAACGCAGACGAAAGACAAGAGAGCTAATTTGATCCTGAGGTCAGAAGACACGCGGCTGAGCAGCAGACAGCACATCAGGAAGGCGGGTGTGCAGGGCCGGGAAGGGTCGGGGTGGTGCGAGGTGACTCGGGGACCCGGAGATCCGCTCAGGAGGCCAGGTTGGGCGCCCCGGGGGCGTGGCGGCCAGAGAGCGAGCGCAACAAGCACGACCTATCCGGAGGGTCCACAACGGGCTCCTTACCCGTAGTAGCGGAAGGCATTAATGATCTTCCAGAAGTGCTCGCGCTCCAGCCGCTCCTCCTCCTCTTCGGTGCTGCGCGCGGCCTCCGCTGAAACCGCCGGCCCCGATCCCAAACGCCCGGTGGAGAACTGCACTTCTACCTCCTCACTCCCACCGCCGCCACCGCGGCCACCTCCCCCGCAGCCCTCCGGCAGCTGCGAGGCGGGCGGCGGAGGGCGCCGCCGTCGTTGCATCGCCGCCGCGACCCTAAGCCTGGCTCGCTTGTGTTTCACAGCGACTGAAAGCGTGGTGGCGGATGCACGGCCTTCCTCTAGAAGGCGCCCGGCGCGGACATGCTCCCAGCTGGAGGCGCGCTCCGCCCCCGCTGCCCTCAGGCCTCCATCCACGCTGGGATACGCCAGGTCTTCAGGGCTCCCGTAACACGTGCGCGTGCGCGGGTAAAACGGAGGGCAGAGGCCATCTGCGCTCATTTGCTGCGGCGGCGGCGTGTGACGTCACCACGGTGCGTCCAGGGGCTGGGGCTAGGGGCAGGTAAGGGAGGAGGGAGGGAGGAGATCCGTGGCAGGGTGAGGCTACGACGACTAGCCTCAAGGAGTGGTCGCATGTGTAGTTTGTAAGTGCGTGCAGAGCTAAAGTGCATACATCTAGCTAAACCTCCTAGGTTTAAGGCATGATTAAAGGAGTGGAAAGCAAAAGGAAAAAGCTCAACTTTGATGAATTAGAATTTTTATTACAGAAAATCTAGAAGAAGTCTTTAGATTCACCATTAAGTGCCATGGATTCCTACTCACAACGATCCTGTATAAGGTTTCCAAGGAGCAGCTGGTGGGTTTGAACCGCAGACCTTGCAATTAGCAGCCCGGTGCTTATCGTACAGTGCCACACCAGGACTCCTAGATTCATCCTAAATTTAAATTTTTAATTAATTTCCTAAATGAAATTTAATTTTCAGTTACAAAAGGGTGAAACACCATAATCTTCCAGTGTTTGGCAGCCTGTTAAGGTCCTAATTCTGCCATGACTGATAGTAAATGAGGAAAATAGAGGGATAACGATCAAAATGCCCCAGAGTGGTAATGTCCTCAGCTTTGGTGAAGAGACACTCATCAGCATCTAATGGCAGTTCTTAGCAATTGTAGTCTTAACCTTTTCTTTTTATTCACCTAGTCATTTATTTCCTTCATTCATTCGCTTTTTCACTCATTTTTCTCTGAACTCTGGCCTAAAACGGCTGCCTTGCGTACATTTAATGTTTTAGGAAATAATGTATCCACCAGCCAAGGAGTTACTCTGGAAGAATGCCATCCAGAAAATCAATCTTGCAAAATAATGGTAGAAATAGGGGAAATACTGTATTCAGAAGAGTTAGACATGCCCAGACACCACCATTTGATTAGAAGGATATAATCATGTTGAAAATTATATAGTAAAACATTGTATTGATTTAAATTAATAATTGAAGAAAGAAAACAAAAAAGAGCACTTGCTACCTGAGTCATCTTTGACTCATGGTACCCCATGTGTGTCAGAGTAGAATTGTGCTACATAGGGTTTTCAATGGCTTTTTCAGAAGGTAATTGGCAGGCCTTTCTTCAAGGCATCTCCGAATGGACTCCATTTCTTGGTTTGCAGCAGAGCATGTAATTGGTTATCTGTTTGCATCAGCCAGGTTGCCAGTTGAACTAAAACAATGAAAAGTACTGATAATATTCATTCTATAATTTTACAAAAGATTTTTCTAAGATTTCAGTCTGTTTTTTAGTAGGTTACTAATGGCTGCTGGTGGCATGCTGTGGAGTCGATTCTGACTCATAGCAACCCTGTATAGCATTTCTGAGGCTGTAGATCTTTATGGGAGCAGAAAGCCTCATCTTTCTCCCCCAGAACAGTTAGGAGTATTGAACTTTTGACCTTAAGGTTAGCAGCCCGACTCACTACACTACTATTACATGGTTCAGAATTCAAAAGGAAAAGACAAAGAATTGCACAAGAGAAAAATGTCTTTACCCTTCTCCCTAGATCCATATCTCCTCTCAGACACAATACAAGAGCTTCAAAAAGTTCATGTAAAAAATGGAACTAAAGTATAATGGATTTTTTCCACGAACTTTTTGAAGCCTCCTCCTATACCAATTTCTTCTGTTTTCCAGATTTTCTATCCAATGCCCATTTTTGTTAGATACCAACAGTGTTTGAAAAACACAAATTCTCATTAACATTGTTATTAATACCATTTTCATTTACTCACACAATACATTTGTGACAGAACAACCTGCATGCTGTAGGTCAGACTACCATGGGCATTCTCGGCAATGTAATAAAAACATTTGCAAAATAATTTTGTATGTAGAAGCTTGCTTGCTTTGTTTTGTCTCATAACCTAGTGCGAGTTTTAGGGCCTGCTTCATTAAGGTGCTCAACTTTAAACTCATTTATGATTTTACAGATGAGGAAATTGAGGAACAGAAATATTAAGTGATCTACATTGTGTCATACTGGCTCTGTACCCTTATTCCCAGATCCTTCACCTTGTATTTTATCACTATTCAGTTATAACACTGGCTGAACTTTTAAAATAGTACAGTAACATTTGTTTACGGTTTCTCTTTTTAAAAAATTTACCCTTTTATCACCTTATTTGTTCTTCATGCGAGCTCTGTGAAGGTGCTATTATCTACCTTTGACAAATGAAGAAACAGAATATGAGACCTTGTGATGTCAAGGTATTACTTGAACTTGACTGAACTAGGGTTCTCAGTTGTTTGTCAAGTTAGATGTTGCTGCTGCGTGCCATGGAGTCAGTTCCAACTCATAGCGACCCTATACAGGGTTTCTGAGGCTGTAAATCTTTACAGGAGCAGAAAGCCTCATCCCACGGAACAGCTGGTAGTTTCGAACTGCTGACCTTGGAGTTCACAGCCCGATTCATAACCACTACGCTACCAGAGCTCCTTCAGTTAGATGTAGCTATCCCCTATAATGTAATTTGATGTGACAAAAAAAAATGAGGATTAAGGTGGGATTGTTATTGTTAAGTATCCCACCACCTCCCTGATCCAATTGATGGGAGATTCACAAGGTGTGGCATTGTTGCTGCTGTTTAGTGCCATTGAGTTGCTTCCCTCTCACAGCAACTCTGTGTAGGGTTTTCAAGGAGTGGCTGGTGAATTTGAACCACCGACCTTGTGTGTCAAACCAACCTTTCCGTCTACAGCACCAGGCAACATCTTTTATCTTACAGGAGTTAAAAGGAGCGACTGGAGCACCAAGACAGAAGAGCCAGAAATGGAGTATGTCCTTTGGACCTAGGGTCCAGAGGATTATTGATGCCAAGATGTATGGAGATCTCCAAAGAATACTGGGCCTACAGATGCTGAAAGGAGACAAGGCCCTTTCCCCAGAGTCGGTAAAGAGAAAGCCTTCTCCAAGAGGCAGCACTCTAAACTTGGACTTCTAGCCTTCTAAAACTGTGAGATAATAAATTTCTGTTGTTTCTTTTACTCAGTATTATGATTCAAAGTTTTATCCATGTTGTTACATACAGTTGTAGTTTGTTCTTTTCATTGTGAGGTATTGCTTAGATGGATGTATCACAACTGAGTTTTTGTAAAACCACTGCTATAATTACGTTGGAAGGACTTAGCCTCTGTCCCAAGATCCAGCTTCCCCATATGAGGCTGCCACTTCACTGTGCCTCCTTCTGCCTTCCAAGTCTAGAATTATAGTCACCAGGGCATCTGGTAAATGTAGGTTTTAGCTCTCTAACCTCGAAAGAAAGTTCCTGGTGCTGGTGTTCTGTTGAGTAGGTTCTGACTCAGAGCAACCCTGAATAGGATTTCCAAGGCTGTAAATCTATCTTTACAGGAACAGAAAGTCTCATCTTTCTCCCATGGAGCAGCTGGTAGTTTCGAACTGCTGGCTTTTGGTTAGCAGTCCAACTCGTAACCCACTATGCCATTTGCCCATTTGCTCTACCTAAGAGCTCCTTAGGGAGAGCAAATGTTTGGGCTAGACTGCTAACCTAAAGGTTGGTAGTTTGAACCCACTCCGTGGTACTGTGGAAGAAAGGGCCTGGTGATCTACTTGCATTGAGGTTATAATTAAGAAAACCCTCTGGATTAGTTATTTTATACATGCTGTCACCAAGAGTTGGAATCAACTGGATGACAACTAATAACAATCACCTCTACAATGTACATGGGTCGCCATCAGCTGGAACTGACTCAGTGGCAACTGTTTTTTGTTTTATTTTTAACCTCTAAAGTACAGAAAAGCATGCTATACACTGGAAGCGGGGACAGGGGTTAAATGAGCCAATTGGCAGTACCTGCCACAGTGACTACCAGTATGTCACATTACCATTGTATTCAAGACTGGTAAAATGGGTCCAAGATAGGAGGAATAATATATTCAGGAGCATCTAGTTTAGGAAGTCTAGGTTAATGTTGACTCAGACAAAACAAAGGAGTCCTGGTAGCGTAGTGGATTGTGGGCTGGGCTGCTAACCTGCAAGGTCAATAGTTCGAATCTCTGAGTCACTCCAAGGGAGAAAGATGAGGCTTTCTGCTCCTGTAAAGATTTACAGCCTTGGAAAACCTATGCAGGGTCTCTCTGAGTTGGAACCCACTCGACAGCCTACCACATGACATATGTAGGTATGTGGCAAATCATTTAACCCACATGAACTCAGTTTCTCAGGTATAAAATGAGACAATTGGTTTATTCTTAAAATGATCCCTCCAACTCTAAAATTCTTGATTCAAATATAGTTAAATGCATAATCGCTTTTAATTTCAGCAGTCTTTCTTTTTAAAACTGTCCATTAGTTCTTTTCGACTATCAAAGGAATCCTGGTGGAGTAGTGGGTTAGGCATTAGGCTGATAAATGAAAGCTAGGTTGGTTTAAGCCCACCAGGTGCTCCCGTAAAGATTTATAGTCTTGCCAACCCTATGGAGTTCTTCTCTGTCCTATGTGGTCTCTATGAGTTGGAATCAACTTGACAGTAAGTTTTGGGTTGGATTTTAACGTCAAGGAGTCTGGTGACTCAGTGGTTAAGACTCAGTTGCTAACCAAAAGGTCAACTGCTCCAAAGAAGAAAGATGTGGCCGTCTGATTCCAAAGAGATTATAGTCTTGAGGCCGTTCTACTCTGTTCTGTAGGGTCACTGTGAGTTGGAATTAGCTTCAATGCACTGATTGTTTTGGTGTTTGTTTTTCAGCTATCAATTTGCCC